ATTGAATTACACATGTGTACTTTCCATATATTATCTAAAAGGACTCATTCTCAGTCTCATATACATATGGACTGTGAGATTCCCATAGCTTGTATTGGCAAGAAATTAATCAATATTTGCAAATTGTTAGAGGTTTTCCTTATTGCGATGAGTGAGCGATTGACACAGATATCAACAGCCACGAGAAACTAAAGTATTCGACTGCATTCGAATATGTGAGTCACGGAGCTTTGTTAATTCCAATTTGAAAGATACAAAATGTACTCAAACTTCAAAATACTGTTCCGTGTTATATAGCAGGGTCGTTCAAAATGAGATCGGACAAAAATGCATGTGTATGATAAAAAGAGAATGTTCATGCAAAGGTATGAGTGAATGTTTGGTCATTCAAAGTGGTTGAACACAAAGTACTCTTTTTTATACCCTCAGCTACGTTGCTAGTTATACCTTTAGCCACATGGTTAGGGAGGGTATACAGGGTGAGATGAAAAAACTGCAACCAATTCAGACTGCTGTCATTTCTAAGCCTGTCGTCCGACAGCTGTTAAAATTATTCCAGTGACAGCTTATTATATTGTTTACAAGCGTACAAAAGCATTTTGGTGAGAATTTCCCAGAAAAAAGTTATTCGTGATGGAATTCAAGCGTGATTTCTTTTTATTTGTCTGGAAAACGACAAGCGGCTATCGTTAGAGCACTCCAGCATTTAAATGTGAATAAATCTTTTGTGTCTCGTACCATCGCTCGTTACCGTGATACTGGTAGCGTAGCCCGACGTCAAGGAAGTGGACGGAAGAAAACATATTCTGGAGGGTGTACTAAAGTACTGGCCACGCAAACATTTTGAAGGCAGACCTTGACCAACCAACAGGAAACAGCACCATCGCACTCAACCCGCGCCACACAAAAATGGTTATTTCCAGCGCACCATGGCCACCAAAATCTCCGGATACCAACACATTGGACTTTTGTGTCTGGAGTATTTTGGAAAGCAAGGTTGGCACCAAAAAATACCAAAGTGTCGATCACCTCAAGTAAGAACTTCGCCGGGAATGGCCAAAATACCGCAAAGCAACATTTGGGCAGCGTGTGGCTGTTTGGAGGCCATAATTCGTGCCAAAGATGACCAATTCGAACAAATCTAAACTTATTCTAAAATTTGATGCTATTTCCGACATTTTTGCTTCCATTCAATAAAATAAAAAAAAAATTGTAAAAATTATGGCTTTTGACTTTGTTGCAGTTTTTTTTTATCTGTATAGCCCAGATACAGCGGTACGCTCCGATATTCGATATTTTGACGATTTTAGGGACTTTATTCACAGGAATTATTTCCAATTTCGTTTTTAGAATTCGTAATGGGTACTACAGCCATTGACAAAAAATTGCATATACAGGCAGGCCCACGTCTTCGTAACGTGGTATAACGGTACCTCCCAAAATTCGGTTTTTTGATGATTTTAGCAACATTATTCACCGGAGTTGTTTCAAATTTCGTATTTAGATTTCATAGAAACTACAGTTTAGGCCAGAAAATTGGCTATGCAGGTCCAGGTCTTCGTATAAGCACCATACATATATTGTAATGGCTTATGATAAAAATTGCCTATGCAGGTCCACGTCTTCGTATAGACTCCAATATAATGACCATATTCGGTATTTTTAAGATTTTAACATTTTTTTAATTCGTTCAAAAATTTCCAAATCGTTCCAAATGCTGGATGGTATTCAAAGTTGGGTCCGACCGTACCTACTGCTTTATACTTGTTTTTATTTATTAACTATTTAGTTTGTAAGTTTTTGTCACTCAAACCAACAGAGACAGCCTTGAATAATACGCACCACGGTCCTTCTTTCCTTCAAGCAAGACGGCAAAGACATTCACCATTAAACATTTATAAAGTTGTTCGGTTTTCTATTTCATTAGCCCCTCCCGATATACAGCAAACACTTAATCAATTTTTAAAACTCTTTCTACGAAGGAGGAGGGGTTTTCTTCATTATTATTGTTGTCATTGTTACAAGGCCTAAGGATATATTTCGACGACTTTAAAACCCCTTGCATTTGTACACACAAATCTATACGCACATAAAACTGTCCCATGTCTCTAACCAGTCCCATTTTTTTGTGGCATTGTTGCGTGTGGTTAATTAAATGTTCGGTTCAATTTAATTGGTTTCCTTAGCTTAGTTCCCTTTTCCTTGGGTTTACAGGGAAAGTTTATTATAGTTCAGGGAATATGGATGGCAGAGAATGAAATATGTATTTTCTTTTTAAAATTATTTCAAATGAATTATTAAGAAGTGTGGCAAATACGGCAGCGGTTTAAACAACTATTTTTAAGTCTTTGAAATGGATGATATTTAAATGGTCGAAGTTAATTCAAAAACTTTTTTATATTTTTATATTTTCCACCAAGGCACTCAGGCGAACAAAAGATTGTTAATAAATTAGAGCCTATTTTGAAACAATCATTTTTAAGGATTTTTTCTATTGTATCTCGGTTCAATTTTTATGACAATTGAAATTTACAATAATATTTTAATAAATTGCCAAAAACAATATTTCATTCTAACTATAAACTAAATCAATGGCCATATTCGAAGTTTAAAACGAACGCACCGTTCCATAGCTTTGCCATAAACGCTTGTCTGTCAGTTGGGTGGAAAACCCGTTCGTTCATACAATGGTGTTAAGACCTTACATGTTTCGTTTAACCTTTAAAGTAGCTGGCTAGTCTGCGTCGCTCACATTTATAGCATAGTTCAAAAAGAATGGTATTTTACAAACAAGCTGGCTACGACTAATATTTTGAAATTGAGGCCAAAAAATTTAAAAACTTTCCAAAAAAAAAAAAGATTAAAAAGTATGAATCGGTTTTGCCGACAGATGTATACCCTAAGCCAATGTTCGATTATTTTAATATATTTGGACTTTTGTTATGATTATCCAAATCGTTGACCCTCTAGACCATTTCGTATCGGACCTAAATATATATTGTGACGTGCAAGGTTTGGACTATATTGGCTACTTCTTTCACTTTATGTGGGATATGTTATAATTTTTAGAAAATGTTGAAATTTGAAATTGTGATCCTTTGTGGGTTCGCAGATATATATCATCTTCAAAACAGATCTTATGTTAGCAAAAATGTTTGTAGGTGTGAAATTTGGAGAAAGTTGTATGCTTATTTTGCTTTCTTTGAGCGTTTTGTTTTTCAAAGTCTTGAACCCTAAGTGGGGGCAGGTACCAAAATAAATGGTCCGATCTCTATCATCTTTATAACAGTTCTTGTGTTGATGCAAATATTGAGATATGCCAAGTCTGAATGGAATAGGATGTTAATTCCGTATTTTATGAGCTTCATGGTTGTTCAAAATGTTGACCTTTTGTGGGAAAGGTACCAGAAGGAGTGGATCGATATATCCCATCTTTATAGTAGGCCTTGTGTTAGAAGAAATAGTGGGATGTGTAATATGAAGAGAACTGGATGCTTATATCGGATTTTATAATCGTTTTGGTTATTCAAAACATTGACCCTTTGTGGGGGAGGTACCAGAAGGAGTCGTCCGATCTCTACCATTTTTCTAACAAATCTTGAGTTTTTGGAAATATTGAGATGTGCTAAGTCTGAATGGAATCGGATGTTAATTTGGTGTTCTATGAAGCTTTATGACTGTTCAAAATTTTGACCCTTTGTAGATTAATAAAAATGTTGTGATATGTGTAATTTGAAGATAATCGGACACGTACATCACATTTTATAAGAGTTATAATTATGACACTTTGTGGGGGAGGTACTTGATGGAGTGGATCGATATTGTGCATTTTCTCACATGACCTAGCAATGATGCAAATATTAGGATTTCCAAAGTTGGAGCAAAATCGGATTATCCTTTCTATTTCTGTGCAGTAAATTATTTTCTTTGAAAATTTCGACCATTTGTGGGGGAGGTACCAGAAGGAGTGAACCGATATTGCCCATCTCCGAGCTCGATCTAAGTTTGATAATAATATTAGAAAGAGTTATCGTGCGGACATCGCTAGACCAACTCCAAATGTCCTGAATCGAATTTGGTCTAAAGAGACCTAGTGTCTAAAACCGTTATTTCGACTAACGTGTCTAGTTGACCTTATAAAATGATATATTCCCTCTCTATTCATATGGCGGATGGTATAAAAACGGGCATTGATTTAGCGCTTAAGGGAGTTATAATTGTTCACAAGTTTGTCCTTCGATCCTGACCATATATTACTTAAATATTACGATGTGCCAATTTTAAACTATTTCGGGTGCTCCCCGAATATTATAATTTTGTGGGGACACCTCTGAAAGAGTGGATAGGCTAATGAGAATCAGACATGAATTTGACATACGAGAAAGCTTTTATTATTTCAAATGTTGACCCTTTGTGGGTTAGGCACAAAAAGTAGTGGCCCAATTTTGTAAATTTTTGTACCTGCCTTATGACGATGTAGCGATTTTATATCGGCTACTCCTAAAGCTCAATGTGATATTTTTAAACTTTTATTGGAGATGTGGCATAAGTAGTGGTCTGATTCGATGTAAGTTCATTGATAGATCGACTCCAAATGTCCTGAAATGGATTTCGTCCAAAGAATCTTAGTGTCTAAAATTTAAGTTTCAATATGGCACATCATATCATATAGACATGCACATATATCTGTAGACATGTACCTGAGGGCATAAAAAGATCTTAGTTTCGGCCGGATCGAAGCTTAAATACACTCGCACATAAGCAAAAAGACATTTGAAAACATCTATACCGAGAATCAGTATTCGAGTGAGTTCCTTTGCTGCTGAAAGGAACGAGCTTGGTTTAATTGGCGTAGAAAGAAGTCGTGGTTTCTATCCTTAAAAATGAAGAATTACGGTAATCTTTTTCCAATTTTTTCCCAAGTTGTAAATTTTAGTTTGAAACAATAAAAAAGTTCCAATTAATCTAACCTAATGTGTTTTTTATTCTTTTATTTTCAGACTCTTTGAATAAACCAAAAAAAATCTTATAAAAATATCATGAAGATTATAACGGAAACACTATATCAGATGTTGGAATTGGATTACATACTTTCTATAAAGACTCCAATTTGATATTCAAGTGTAAGTATAACCCATACGATATTATTGAGTGGCACATAACATAAAAATAACACTGAGGTAAAAGTATTCAAAAGAAGTTCGCCGATAGGCTGTGAATTCGAAATGTTAAATTACAACATTTTCTCCGGCCGGTTTTTCGTGCCCATTAGTTCGGATTTCTAAAAAATCTATTTGAAAAATTATTTCGGGTTAATTGTGCACTAAATGGCCAATATCAGTCCAAATGGCCTGAAATTTGACACTTCCGACGGAGTTTAACATAGAAGCAAGTACAGGCAACAAAGTCCAGCGCTATAATTTTTACATTTTTTTTTACATTTTTGAACGTCGGAAATAGCATCAAATTTTAGAATAAGTTTAGATTTGTTCGAATTGGTAACCTTTGGCACGAATTATGGCCTTCAAACGTCACACGCTCCCCGAATGTTGCTCTGCGGTATTTTGGCCCATTCCCGGCGAAGCGTTTGCTTGAGGTGATCGACACTTTGGTGCCAGCTTCGCTTTCCAAATTACTCCTGACACAATAGTCCAAAGGATTGGTATCCGGAGATTTTGGTGGCCATTGTGCGCTGGAAATGAAGCGGTGAACCTTATTTTGTAACCATTCTTGGGTGGCGCGTGCTGAGTGCGATGTTGCTTAGTCCTGTTGGAATGTCCAAGGTCGGCGGCTAAAATGTTTGCGTGCCCAAGGCTTTAATATACCCTCCAGAATATTTTCGCGATAATTCTGATGCCACGGTCGATTAATACGAGCGGAGAGCGACCATCGGCTGTTATGGCGGCCCACGCCATCACCATGGCTGACGCTTGAGTTCTAATGGCCAACCGAAGGTGCACATTTTCAACTGACCTCTTTGGCAAGTAAACACGATCATTTTGTTTGTTTACAAACTGCTGGACAACGAATGTTTTCTCATCGGAAAAAACCAAATATAAAGAAATCACACTATAACGCTTGAACTCCATCACGAATAACTTTTTTTCTGGCAAAATTTTCACCAAAATGCTTTTGTACGCTTCGTCTCTCTGTTCGAATTTCATTGGAATCGAAAATACGTATCGTGTTTGGTGCATCAAATATGTGAAATCGGACGAAAATATTTATAGGAGCTATATCCAAATCTGAACCGATATCAATATAATTTGGCGAATTCATTTTTGTTTCAAATTCCGTAACGCATTCTATATTTGGAGACTGTATCTGTAATCGATCAATAGATATGTGCATATAAAATCTAAATGTTTGGGAAGTACCTACGATTCTGATGCTATGCCTCCAGTTCCAAGTAGAATTTCAAAAATGTATATAGCCTATGTTACTTTCAGGCGATGTTGTAGTACAATTGGAAATTTTCAGGAAAATCTGTTCAGGGGTTTTCGAGCCCATAAATTGCAAACAAACAAACAAACATTTTCCTCTTTTATAGAAATAGATACCCTTCCAGGGGTAAAGTATTAAGAAGGAACTCCTTTTGTGGATTTTCAAACAATTTCATTGAAAAATTTGACTACACTCATCAAAATACCGAATATCGGGGGTACCGTTATGTGGGGGCTATACGATGTCGTGGACCGATATAGCCCATCTTCGAACTTGAGCTGCCTGCAAAAGACTGATCTGTGCAAAATTTTAGCTTCCCATATTTATTCGTTTTGACTGTAGCGTGATTACAACAGACGGGAAGACGACCGGATGGACGGACAGGGCTAAATCGTCTTAGAAATTTACGCTAATCATAAATATATGTACACTAGAGCCCCGACTTGCGTCGTTTTGAGTTGCGTCGCTTTTCAAAAACCAGAAAATTCGATTTGCGTCGTTGCAATTTAAAGTTGCGTCGGTCCGAGCTACATTGTTGATTACTATTTTTATACCACCATACATAGTATGGAGGGTATATTAAGTTCGTCATTCCGTCTGTAACTCATCGACATAATCATTTTAGACCCAGTAAAGTATATATATTCTTGATCAGCGTCAAATTCTAAGCCCTTTCCGTCCGTCTGTCCGTCTGTTGTAATCACGCTACAGTCTAAACGAATTAAGTAGGAAGCTAAAATTTTGCACAGATCTCTCTGTTGTCTGCAGGCAGGTCAAGTTCGAAGATGGGCTATATCGGTCAACGATATCGTATAGCCCCCATATAACGGTACCCCCCGATATTCGGTATTTTGATGATTTTACCCACATTTTTCAACGGAATTGTCTGAAAATCCACACAAGGAGTTTCATGTTGGTACTTTATACCTCGGAAGAGAATTGTCTATATAGGTCCACGATATCGTATATCCTCCATATAACGGTACTTCCCGATATTTGGTATTTTGATTATTTTAGCCACATTTTTCAACGGAATTGTCTGATAATCCACACAAGGAGTTCCTTGTGGGTACTTTTCTCTCTTAAAGAGAGTTGTCTATATAGGTTCACGATATCGTATATCCCCCATATAATGGTACCCTCCGATATTCGGTATTTTGATGATTTCAGCCACATTTTTCAATGGAATTGTCTGAAATTCCCCACAAGGGATTCTTTGTGAGCACTTTACCCCTGACAGAGAGTTCTCTATATAGGTTGACGATATCGTATAGCCCCCATATAACCGTACCACCGATATTCGGTATTTTGATGATTTTAGCCACATTTCCCAATGAAATTATCTGAAAGTCCAAACAAGGAGTTCCTTGTGAGTACTTTACCCCCAGACATAGATTTGTCTATATAGGTCCACAATATCGTATATATCCCCATACATCGGTACCTTCCGATATTAGGTATTTTAAATATTTTACCAGAATTTTCAATGGATTTTATTTTTTTTGAAAATTTTCTCATTCGTTCCAAATGGTGGAGGGTATTCAAAGTTCGGCCCGGCCGAATTTACTGCTTTTTTACTTGTTTGGATTTACAGTGCTTCTTATGTCTAAAATTATTATTTCGATGAGTTACAACTGGATGTAGGGTGGAGGGTATAAAAAGGCTAAAATTGATGAAGCCCACTTCACATAATACAATATTTCATGCATTAAGTACTTTTGGTACCCTCATAGTCCCTAAACTCAGCCTAGGACTTTTAGCTCGGCAAAGGCATATTTCATTTCCTTTCATCCAAAATCATTTTCCCCCCATTTCATGTTCATGCTGAAGTGGCAAATTGTCGCGTCGGTAATGAGCTTTTTGTGGTCCCTAGTTTTTCCCCATACCTGCAAATTATTGCATGCCAATTTATTACTAATTCCTAATACCTTTGATGCAATTGAGACACATAAATCAGAATTATTCCATAATACGATTACGGTCAAAATGATGGCACACAAGGTTGTTAAAAAATTATCCTCTTTATGCTTTTGCAGCATCCCACCTATTGGTCATAATCTATTTAGCCACTAATTACCAATCATAAGGGAGGTGATGTGATGTGACGTGCACTCACATCTCCCCGTTGTGGCCACAAACTGGCCATGAATTGATTATATAAACATTGTCATGGTATTAGTTGCAGAGTTCAGTGTTTGTTTGTTTTTTTTTTTTTTTTGTTTGTCTGCTCATATCACATTCATTCATTCATTCGTGCACTCACTAGTTCTGGAGGTACCAACCACCGCCACCACTGCCACCTGATGATTTTCAATCGATGTTTGTATGCACATGCATGTGCCTGAGTGTGGTCAAATAGTTTTTTCGCCATCGTTTACAAATGTCATTTAAAGTGCTCAATTTGAATGAATATTTAATAGAACACAATTTAATTACATAAAACAAGGAAAGGGACGGATGATGATACAAAGTATAGGTGAATTGGGTCTAAAGAAAGTTAGTGTAATTTTGTTTGTATTGGAGAATCGATTGGATTTGAAACGGTTCATAAAATTTACATAAGAAAAATTATTGTGCATAAATTACACCTTCAGCAATAGGGCTACACATGGGTTTATATTATTTTTCCCCGCCAAAAAGTGCCTCATAGAAATAACGGGTTTAGCCCTAGGCTTCTTTGGACGAAATCCGTTTCAGGAAATTTGGAGTCGATCAAGGAGTGTCCGTCCGTCTCTCTCTCTCTCTAAAGGGATGTGGCCCAAACTAGGTAGATTGTAATATTATTATCAGATTTTGATCAAGTTCGGAGATGGGCAATATTAGGCTACTACTTCTGGTACCTACGATGGTACGCACGATTATTCTAAAGGGACGTGGCCGAAACTTGGTAGATTGTAATATTTTTTATCAAACTTAGATCAAGTTCGAAGATGGGTAATATTGGTCCACTACTTCTGGTATCTACTCCACAAAAGATTAAATTTTCGCAGAATATAATATATCTCATAAACAAGAAAGAGTAATCCGGTTTTGTTCAAACTTTGCAAATCCCAATATTTATATCAGTGCTGGGCCAAATGATAGATAAAAATGACAATATGGACCCACTCCGTCTAGTACCAACCTCCCCCACAAGGGGTTAAATTTGGAACAATCAAAGCTTTTAGGAAATTTGAGATAAGAGTCCGATTGCCCTAAAATTTCACAAATCCCAATATTTCAATACAAGATCTGGTGAGAAGATCGAATATGGCGGGTCACTCCTCCTGCTAGCTCCTCCACAAAGAATTAACATTTTAAATAACCATAACTCTCATAAAATTTAAAACAAGCATCAGACTCTTTTCAAACTTCTCACACAAACACAAAATCTATTGGGAAGATGGGATGAAGCGGACCACATAATTCTGGTACCTCCTCCACAAGGGGTCAACATTTTGAGTATTTACAACCCTTCAAAAGACCCGCCATGTAGGCTTCGCAAGGCAAGTTTAGAGATCTTGAGCGATTTCACGAATCAAACGTTGGAAGGGCAATTTGCGGATCAACAATTCAGTACTCTTCTGGTAACGACGGATTTCCCGCAAAGCAACTGTACCAGGATGGAAGCGATGAGGCTTCTTGCGAAACATGTCACTAATTCTCTTTAGATTAAGTATATTTTAATGTTTCCTCAACCAGAGACTGCCTTTGATACCTCCCTCACAAGGGGTCAAAATTTTAAATAAATACGTTCACTTTTGGCGGGTGTGTCAATAATCACCCTATTTGGTTTGAAATTACACAGTTTGTGTAGAACAAACGTGAAATCGGACTAAGATAGTGCTTTAAGTACAGGGTGAGATTAAAAACAGATCAAAGTCATATGCCATAATTTTTATATATTTTTTTTTAATTTTATTGAATGAAAGCAAAAAATGTCGGAAATAGCATCAAATTTTAGAATAAGTTTAGATTTGATCGAATTGGGCACCTTTGGCACGAACTATGGCCTTCAAACGGCTAATGGTATTTTTTAGTGCTAACTTTGTTGTCCAAAATACTCCAGACACAATAGTCCAACGGATTGGTATCCGGAGATTTTGGTGGCCATTGTGCGCTGGAAATGAAGTGAGGAACCTCAGTTTGTAACCATTCTTGGGTGGCTCGTGCTGAGTCCTGTTGGAATGTCCAAGGTATGCGGCCAAAATTTTTGCGTGCCCAAGGCTTTAATACATCCTCCAGAATATTTTCGCGATAATATTCGACATTTATTCTGATGCCTTGGTCGATTAATACGAGCGCTTTAGTTCCCATATGTATGTTTCATCCGATTTGGTGTTTAAGTCCGTCTCATTCGTAATATGCACTCCACAAGAATGATATTTGGCACTAGATATCAGATGCAGCCCAGAAATATATCTGCCAAATTTTATTAAGATTTTGGCACATCCCACCGACTTTAATCTAGAGGCAAATATATCAAATTTGGTGAAAATCGGGTCAGATATAGCTATAGCTCCCAAATATGTATATGTATCACATTCGTAATATGCATTCAACAACAATGATATTTGGTACCAGATATCTTTGCAAAATTTAATCGAGATCGGCTAAGACTTAGTTATAGATTCCTTAAATATTCTTTATCCGATTTCAAGTTTATTGTGCAAACTTCGGCTCCGATCTATATTTATACCCTACAACACTATGTGTTGGGGGTATTATAAGTTTGATTGGGCCAGAATTTATGTAACACCTCGAAATATTGGTTTCCCATATAGGAAAGTATATATGGGTCTTCCTAGCTCGCCGAGCTGAGTCGATCTAGCTATGTATGTCCGTCCGTCCGTCTGTCCGTCTGTCCATGTTAATTTGTAATCACTCTACAGGTCGCAATTATGGCCCGATCTTCACGAAATTTAAAATGTAGGTGGGGTTAATGTCAGAATAGAACCCTATTTCTTTTGGAGATGATCGCCAAATGTTTAGGGGTTGAAATGGACCAAATACTGAAAAAATGTCGGATTTTGCAGTAGCTATACACGTCGCAATTATAGACCAATCGACGCGGAATTTCGCATGTAGCTAGAGTTTAGGGCGGGGAAGAAGCCTACCAATTTAGGTGGTCGGATTATATTTAGCGGGTAAAATAGACCATATCTTTTGTATTGAAAAACTTCGAAATTTTTCATTAAACCGCGAATATTTTAAATCCCGGCGAAATCACAAAGCCATGACAGGGTTACTTCTGATCTTTACATTGATGTTAACATCCAATAAATCGGATATATAGCAAAATATGTGCGATATATATGTCTATCAAAGAAGGATATGCTTGAAAGATCTCTTATATGTCGAGAACGGCTGAACTGATTTCGACAGTTCTCATTAATTCAAAATGGCCTCTTAGCAAGAAACAAAATACGTCTAAAAAAATCGCATAAAAATATCTCTCTAAAGATGAAAATATTGATTTTATAATATTTTCTCATATTTTTTCAATTTTGTCATATTTTTGGCATATTTTCATTTTGAATTAAACATTTGGTAATATTTCTACAGCTAAGAAAACTAAGTAGTTATGGCCCGATCCTTACGAAATTTTGCATGGGGATAAGATGAGGGTCAGAATAGAAGCCTACTCTTTTTGGAGATGATCGAAAACTGCAAAATTGTCAGCAGGTCGTAATTATCGTCCGATCCTCAGGCACATTTGAATGGGGGTTATTGGACATTGCAAAAGCCAAGCAGTTTTGGATGGCCATCCAAAAATATTCAATGTGCGAAATAGTTTGCCAACTTTTGTAGACAAAATACTTGGAGAATTCACAAATACAGGAAAGACGCACTTCTGACTATTTCGTTAACGCTGATTTAGTTGAAGAATATAGTCAAATGGCTGTATCTCATATAGATGCGTTTCAGTCTAAAAACAAAAAATAAATGTTAATCTTTTGCCACTTCTGAGAGATTAATGGTCTTTGTGAAATATTGGTTCCGGATCTAGGAAGACCATTTACGTGCAACATCTACCAATAAATTGGAAATGAGCAAATTAGTTTAAGTTGCTATTATTGGAAAATTAGAGAACTAAACCTGATGGTTTTCTTTTATTATTTGTCACAATATCTTGTGAAATTCTTTCGAGTATCTCGCCTATATAAACTGTATCGTTTATTATAGTGTTGTAGGGTATTCAACGGTCGGCCCCGCTCGACTGTAGCCTTTGCTTACTTGTTTTTAATATAATTCCTCTTGAAGTGATTTCATGCACTCTATATCACTGTCTTTTGGTATAAAAGATAAAATTGTCTCCGTCAAATTTAGTGAAAAATGATTCAGAATTGGATATGCCTCCCATATATTAGTTCCCTCTAAAAGCAAATTATAACTGGTGGTATGATCTACTTTAAATAAATTCTTTTGTTACGGGAGCTCTACTAGGTATTCATAGTGGCGTAGGGTATCATATAGCCGGTTCCTCCCGACTTTGGAATTTTCCTTACTGGTTTTACCTGTATTAAATGAAGTATGAAAATGAATACTTCGATCAACTATATTTGGTACCTCACGCACATTTTAACATTGTCTTAAAATTATCACAATCCAATACGAAATGGACAATATTGGCTCATCTGTCGGTAAAACCGACTTCTTTTTTTTAATGGCATAATAAAACCAACAACATCGATCACAACACTAGCACTCCTTTTACTTTTACCAAAATTTCTCCAATAATACCTTGTTTTTTTTCTTCTTTTACTTGCAGTACCTCAGTAAAACATTTCTCCTTCTTTAACCGGAAGACCAAAGCTCTCACACACACACCTTCAGACACAAAGGCCACGCACACACAACCAAACAGAACAAGAAAGCAGAAGGGACACTGCAACAAACTGCAATGCGGTACCAGAAAACTCGTAAAAAATATTCCAATTACAACAACAACAATCGAAGCAGCAGCAAAAACAACTACAGCAACAACAAAATTACTAATTATAGCACATCATTAGCAATAAATTTCAACAAATATCGACTAAAGAGTTTAAGTAAACAAACAAAAACAACAACAACAACAACAACTACAGCCACAAATCATTTTTATCATCGCACAGTAACAACAACTAGAAGAAGAAGAACAGCAACAACAAATTAAGTACAAAACTAAAGCATACTTAGTAGTAATTAATTTCCATTAGCGGCTAGACTAGAATCAAATCAAAAAAAAAAAAACAATATTACCCCAAACAACTATTTCGTCGGATAGCACGGAACAGCATCCATCGCCAAGATCCTCCAAAGAGGTTAAAAAATTAATCTTCGGTTACATTTTTTTTTAATTTCAACAACAAAGACAACAGAAAGAAGCTCCTGAACACAAATAAAACGGACCGACAACAGAGCGTTTATTTTTCAAAAGGGTCATGTTTGAAAAACCGCCCATTTGGGTTATAGTTGTGGGCCTATATGTCTGCATTTTGATATGGTTGATCTCAGTCCAGGAACCGGTTATGTATGATGCCTCATCCGCCATTATAAGCAGTGGAAGCATCAACAGCAACAACAACAGATATAATTTACAACAACTCAATGATGTTCCTCCATCGTTACAGCAGCGTGTTGGCCGGGGTGATCGTGATGTCAAGCAGATAGGTCCCCCCTTTTCGGGCAGACATTTGTCATTTAGTGATCTAAATGCCTCCAGCACTATCACAACTACCTTGAATTCGAATGTAAGCAACGGTAACAGCAGCAGCAGCAGCCAAACAACATCATCCAATCGTACTGGGGAGGCCATACAGAGTACCACCACAGTTACTGATCTCCTAGCCAATATTCATTCATTAACTTCTAGTCTGGGAACGGGTGTTCTCGAAACGATACAAAGACCCACACCATCATGGATAAAAATGACTGCTGTTTCTTCAGCACTGCCGGAAGAAGACTTCAATCATTTGATAGATTTAAACGACTTCCATTATCTTGTGCCTCAGCCGGTGTGTAGCTCAAATGTGGAAGCCTTAATACTGGTGCATTCGGCACCGCACAACCAACCGAAACGGCAAATAATACGCGAAACATGGGCCAGCATTGGTCGCCATATGGTCGATGCACCCATTCGGGTGCTATTTCTATTGGGTGCTGTCCAAGAGGAATCTTTGCAGCATGACGTCATCAGGGAGAACACTGAATATGGCGACATCATTCAAGGTTCTTTTATGGATGATTATCGCAATATGACCTATAAGCATGTCATGGCTTTTAAATGGTTCCTCTACAATTGCCCTGATGCCCAGATCTTGATCAAGGTGGATGATGATGTCTATGTAAATACACCGCAATTAATTAAATATCTCAAGGCTGAGCAGCAAACTGATAATGCCACAACAGCCCCAAAACATGCTGCGGATAAGGGACTGGGAGCGTCGGCGACGACCGAAGAGGAGGAACAACAAGAAGCAAATAAACCCACCATCATAACTCTTAATGATACAACCAAAAAGACAAAATCCACCAAAAAATCTCTTTACGAGTCATTGAAAAATTTTGCAAATTCATTCAGTTCATCATTGTCATCCGCATCCGAATCGAGAGAAAATTTTACCGCCTCGACGAGGCTCTTTCACCGACCACAAAATCTACTGTTTTGCCAGAAGATCACCGGTTCATTGGTTAAACGTTCCTATCGTTCCAAGTGGCGTGTCAGCTTCAAAGAATATTCCGAACGTTATTATCCACCCTATTGTCCCGGCTATGCCATTATCTATTCACCGGATGTGGTGCTACGTCTGTATAATGCCGCTCAAAATTTTAAATACTTTTGGATCGATGATGTCCACATAACCGGTGTTCTGGCCCAGCAAACCAACACAACTATAACCACCTCATCACATTATGTTCTCTACAGTGACGAATGTGAACGTCTATTGACGGGCAAGACTGATCTCCAAGATACGGAATTTTTGTTCGCCTGGCACAGTATATCGGCGCAGCAAATTAAAGCCATTTGGCATCTGCAAATGATGTCGCTCACCTCGCCGGATGATTTGCTCTACACCAGAAGCACTAACCATAACAGCAGCCACAGACGAAAGAAGTCAAGGATACGCCAAGAAATCTCCAAGAATTCAAGATTAGCCTACAATATCACTACCAACAATTTGATAACGACGGCGGAAGGCTTCAGATAGTAGACTCTCTCTCTTTCTCTCCAAGCATCAAATGGTGGCCCACCTGCACCAGCGAACGAACGACAAGGAAGCAGAAGTATAAAGAAACGCTTACATTAGTTTAGGTTTATTACTATGATTATAATTACATATTATAAATATATATATATAAACAAATATTGGTTCTTATTTTGTTTAATTTTAATTTGTTTTTTTTTCCTGTGTCATTGTAAACTGAAGAAACCCACAAAATACTGGCTTTATTTTAAATATTTTACCTAAAATAAATTAAAAAAATATATATATTATTTATTTGAGAAGAAATGAAATTAAAAATAGAAACAAAAAGAAAAAAAACTAAACGTAATGACATTTGCATTGTAATGTATTTAATATATAATTTTAATAAATTTACTCAGATGTGCCCCTGTGGTATGGTAAAATTTGTTAAATGTAAATATATCTCCTTGAGTGTTTATTTTGTCGTTTCATAGGGTGGGTTTGGGCTGGTTATTGGAAAAATATTTTTAAGATCAATGGAAAATAATACTTTAGTTCCAAAAATATATTTTTTTTTGAATTATCTGAAGGTTTTTCTGCTATATCCGATCTTTACGCCAGATCTTGTGATAGTAACATATGTTGGGACTTGCGAAGATCGAAAAGAATCGTATGCTTATCTTGCCGTTATATTAAGGTCTATACCACGACGTGAACCTGCCTAGGCAACTGTTGTCATAAGCCATTACAATATTCAAATGCGAAATTTAAAAAAAATCGGTGAATAATGTTGCTAAAATCATCAAAATACCGAATATTGGAAGATGCCATTATATAGGGGCTATAAAAACGGCACACCCAATTTTCTGTTTGGGCTGAAGTATTCATTACGAACTTTAAATACCAAATTTGAAACATTTCCGGTGAATAATGTCACTTAAATCGCCAAAATACCGAAAATAGTACCCTTCTATTTTCTCATTATATGGTGGCTATACCAAAACGTGGAACTGCACAGACAATTTTCTGTCGTAGGATGTAGTATCGAGCTTCAAATACCAAATTTGATACAATTCCCGTGAATTATGTGGCTAAAATCAACAAAATACCGAATTTTGGGAGGTACCGTTATACCGGGGCTATACGAAGACCTGGACCTGCATAGACAATTTTCTTCCTTAGGCTGTAGTATCCATTACGAACTTCAAATACCAAATTTGAAACATTTCCGGATAATAATGTCGCTAAAATCGTCAGAATACCAAATATCGGGAGGTACCGTTATGTGGGCGCTATACGGAGACGTGGACCTACATGACCCATTTTCAATACCAAAAGTATTGATATAATATGCATTTGAGTTAAATTTTATCAATTTCGTTCGGAAGCTAGAGTGATTTCCAAAGACGGACGGACATCTCTAAATCGCCATTCAATTTTATGCTGATCAAGTTATGCTTTGTGGGATCTAAAATGTATATTTCGAGGTGTTATAAACGGAATGACAAACTTAATATAGCCTCCATACTATGGTAGAGGGCATAAAAATGACCGATTTGGAGGAAGTACCAAAATGAGTGGTCCGTTTTATCATATCTTCATACCAGGCCTAGAGTTGGTAGAAATATTGGGATGTGCGAAATTTGAAGACAATCGGACTCTTATTTCACATTTTGATTATGCAGAAGTAGCGGGTCGGTACTGTCCATTTTCTCACCTGAACTAGCACTGATATAAATATTAGGATGTGAAGATACAAAAAGATGTCAACCTATATTGCTTATATCCGAACTCAATATAAGCTTGATACTAATATTGTATATATTGTTAAATTTGGACGAAGTCGCATTGGCCGGACGTAAGGACAATCCTCACCTCGACTTCAAAAGTCATTATAATTAATGCCATTAATCGGATTTCATCAAAAGATGGATATTTTCCTCTTCTTCTATTCCACCTGATCCAGTTTCTTTGCAAAACAAACCTAATTTGAAGAAGAGCATCTCGCTATTACATTGATGTCACATATTGCTTAACAAATCTGTTATAAATATTTAAAAATTTGTCAATTTTTTATGACAATTCGCTTGAGAAAGTAGTTGGTAGTTTTGAATAAAATGACATGATTTTAAGAGCGACAGTCTTGACCACTTGGTTACATTTTCTTACCGAAATGTGGACCAACTCTAGATTAGTAAAAACTCATCTATTTTTTCGAATTTTTTTCCAGAAGTAGGTATTTTTACCCTGATTCAGGAAATCATGTTTTCCTTTGGGGGCGGACCCGTAACCCCAGATTTTTGACCCGGGTTCAAGATCCGGTCTAGACAATATAGGTATCGCTTGAAAGCTTATGAAAATACCTATCCAGGTGGCCACATGATGGGGTTATTTATAAGCGGTACGGAAGTCGAATTATAGATTTTTTGGATTCGTTTTTTTATAAAACCACCAAAAAGTCGAAAACACACCCATTATGGGGGTCAACAAAAGTGATGCCAAATTATAGGTGACACTCTTACCTTTCCAAAATGCTACAATTTCTGCTAATAACTTTTTCTGGTCTAAAGATATTCTCTTCTGGGTATGTTCAACCGGTTACGCGAACTAATGTTTTCTACATTTAACAGTTGTTGTAAGAAGCCGGATATGGACAGGGGCTTGAGAGTTTCTACTGTGGGTATGTCCCACACCGGCTAACGCGAATGACAGATTTCTAAATTCGATATTTTTGTAAGTAGCGGGACTTGAGATGTTGCCCTCTGGGTATATCCCAAACAGGCTAATGCGAATAAAAGTTTTTTAAATTTGATTCTTTTGCAAGTCCAACGGCGGCTACACGAAATAAGGGTTTTTTTATTAAAAACATAATTTTAATGAACTGGTTAAATCGAGTTATGAGGGTGGAAATACCCATATCTCTAGACCCAGAAAAGGTTTAGCACAAATTGTAACATTTTGGAAATATATTTTATATTGTATATATTATATAAGAATGTCAGCAATAATTTTGCACTTTTCTACGGGTTTTTAGGCTTTTTTTTTATTGAAAACATAATTTTAATGAACTGATGATAAAAAATGCCTATATCGGGTAAGTGGATCCGAGTCTAGTGCGGGAGTTGAACCAGGACTTTCTTTTCAAAGATCTGTGGTCCCAGGTCCGTCCCCCAAGATCCCTACCATTGGAAAAAATGTCGAAAAAAGAGTTTTTACTAAACTAGAGTCAAGCCGCAATTTTATTTAATGTGCCAATGTCGAGTGTTTCTATGTACATAAATTTAATTTTTTTTGTTTTGGAAGATCATCTTACTCTTACAAAATAGCGGACATATGTCAAATAGAAAGTCAAAATATGTGAAATTTTTAGTGTTATAGCTATTCCTGCTTTCATGGGCACAGCTTCTGAAAAAAAACTCAGTATCGAAACAAATCTTCCACTTTAAAAAAAAGAAACATTTATTTTGCAACGCTGTGCAGGATGTCATTGTAATATCTCAAAAATTGAAATATTTAATTTTTAGAATTCAGTGGTGTGGACTAATGCTTGCTGTCATTTGAAAGATAATTTCTTTCTCTTTAAGACAGTTGGAATATCTTATTCCACAAAAGAATTGGTGGTAGTGAAAATGTTTTACTTTTACTTTTTTGATCTTCAAAAGGAAATCAGGCCAGGTTTTAAATTCTCAAGACAATATTTAAGTCCATAATAGCGCCTCACAGTATGCTTCATATTTTCCATAAATCATTTCAATGCATTTCAAACTGTATTTTATTTCATATCATAGACACAAACCACATATTTCGCAGACGCAAACAAATAAATGAGTGACATTTTCGTAGTTTGCCATCTTTACGCCAGAGTTCAATTTTCTTTTTATATTTCACTGAAATGAGACACAGTGGTTCTACACATTGTTGAAATTGCGTTAAAGTATGAATAAATTTTGGCTGATATAAATTCTTAGGACCTGTTATTGTATGACAAAAGAAAACGAAGGTCAAAACAAAAAAACATCGATTGTATATATTGTATATCTATATTTATATTTATATTTGATATTGATATTTATATTTTAATACAACTAAAAATATTGACAGGCAGTAGTTCTGTTCCAGAACCTCCTAGTTTTGCAATTTTCTTCGATTTCAAAAAGGGAAAATCGGTTATCGTAGTAATATATCTTACATTCTTGCAGTTCTGGAACAGAACATTGGAAACCGAACAAAGTTTTTATACCCTCCACCAAAGTATAATATGTTATTTTCCAACCGTAACGTGTAGAATGCTATCTCGAAATAAGATTCAGTATTTCGACATATTTGGTCTGTTCCAGAACTGCATGAATGTAAAAGCTTTTATAACCGATTTTCCCTTTATGAACAGAGCATATGACACTAGCATTATTAACAATAGCAATTTTCTATGTAGTTGTTGTAGTATTGCTTCTACCTTCTAGTAAGTCTACCATGCGTGAAAACGGCAAAATATTTGGTTGAAATGAAATATAATTTTTTGCCAGTCCATATCTAATGAAGAGATATAAAAAATAAATTTGACAAAGAAGGACATCAATTAACAAATATACAGGGTGAGATGAAAAAAAAAACTGCAACCAACTTCAGACTGCTGTCATTTCTAAGCCACTCATCCGACAGCTGTTAGCATTATTCCAGTGACAGCTCATTATATTGTTTACAAGCGTACAAAAGCATTTTGGTGAGAATTTTCCACAAAAAAGTTATTGGTGATGGAATTTCTTTATATTTGACTGGAAAACCATGGCCATGGTGATGGTGTGGTGTGCGTATTAATCGACCGTGGTATCAGAATAAATGCCGAATATTATCGCGAAAAAAATCTGGAGGATGTATTAAAGCCTTCGGCACGTAGACATTTTGGCTGCAGACCTTGGACAGTCCAACAGGACTCAGCACGCACCACCCAAGAATGGTTACAAAATGACATTCCTCGCTTCATTTCCAGCGCACAACGGCTACCAAAATCTCCGGATACCAATCAGTTGGACTATTGTGTCTGGAGTATTTTGGAAAGCAAGGTTGGCACTAAAAAATACCAATGTATCGATCACCTTAAGCAAGCGCCTCGCCAAGAATGGGTCAAAATACCGCAGAGCAACATTCAGACATGGTTTGGCGGTTTCATTGGTCATTATTTGTGCCAAAGTTGACCAATCCGAACAAATCTAAACTTATTCTAAAATTTGATGCTATTTCCGACATTTTTTTGCTTTCATTCAATGAAATTTAAAAAAAATGTAAAAATTATGGCTTTAGACTTTGTTGCAGTTTTTAATCTCACCCTGTATATATATTCTTGGTCAGCGTGAAATTCTAAGACGATTTTGCCCTGTCCGTCCGTCCGTCTGTTGTAATCGCGCTAGAGTCAAAACGAATAAAGATAAGAAGCTAAAATTTTGCACAGATCAGGCTTTTG